CAGACATTTAAGATAGACTAGACTAGACGGATGGATGGATGTTTGTTAGAGTTTGTAGCCTAAACGGCTGAACTCTATGAAATTTGACATAGACGTAGAGAATAATCTGGGAGAACACATGCGCTATTAACTTGTTTTTTTTAATGCCCCTGGACTAAGTCGCGGATGAAAGCTAGTAAGGAATATTTTCACTGGTAACTTCTTTGAAAGGTACTATCTTAAGTTTAGTTCCACCTAATGTTCTTATATTGACATGTAATAAAACATTTTAAAAAAATTATCAGCTCCATGTTTTGGTAAAATATGATTTGGTGACACCGATTGGCGTTAGTGAAAAATGTCTCAAATGAGGTGTCAACTGTGTCCTCTATATTTTTTGAATCTCTTTGGTTCCATCACATTCTATTGTACCTTAGCCACAGCTAACTCTTCAGACATCTGCCCCACCAGTTTAGTCGTCTCCTCTACTTTGCCTAACCCGTTCCTTAACTTATTAGCTTGAAGTGCCACTTCTTCACGCTTATTCTTTAGCATTCTGTAAAAAATAACAAGAAAATTATTCTTAATCATAATTGCATTGACACAATTTGAGAATTCTCAATAACTACTTTCAAAGAAGGGTCGATAAGTGTATCTAAATGTGATTTTCACTCACTCCTTGTACCCGGAGACGAGCTCAAGGTAGTTAGTGGGTGTGACGTGGTTGACGCGGCGCATCTCGTTCCACATGCGTACAGAGTGACGTCCTACTGAGGAGTGTACCAGCGACATGATGGACGCCACCGACGCCCGCAGAGTCTCCTCGCGACTCTCCACTACCGACTCCTTGCGTCTCACCTGACACAAATGTCAAATACTTGACACATCACGACTCTTACAGCATAAGATCTTTGGCAGGAAGAATCGAGGAATTTTTCATATTTTAACGCTCCTTCCAGCATCTCTTATTTAGCTTTGGAAGGAAAAGGTAAGTTTCAGGGGTCCCACTATGGTTCCTTCCTGAATCTTATACTGATTATAATAAATGAAGGTACCCTCTATCCAGGGAGGTCGACCCTACTAAGGTTCCCTCCTCCATCTGGCTATTGATTTAATGCGCGAAGGTTTTACCCTCTGTCCAGTGATGGAGGCGAGCAGTTCGACGCCAGCTAAGAACTTATATGCGACTTCGAGCAGCGCCTCTCGCGGCCACTCCAGGAACCAGTTGGTGGTAGTAGAGTTGATCAACGCCGGGTACTGCCGGATGCGGTTCCTATGTACCGCATATTGTAAAATCAGTCATTACATTGTTTACTGCCTGCCTGTCTGTCTATCTGCCTGTGAAATCTGACCTAAACTCCTCGCCAATGGGGCTGAAACAAAGCACAATGCGCAGGTTGCTGCGCACGCGGTCCACCAGGAACAAGTACACGGACTCCGTGGTCTGCATTATATTGGCGTGCTTCATTGCCTTCTCCAGCGCTTGCTTTATCTACAATTATACAACCAATATAACGAGACCTCTAAAATTTTAGAGTGTATTCTACAAATGACACATTGTTAGGTATAACCCGACTGATTTTAGTTTGCATTATGAGGGAGTAAAGTTGTAAATGCTACTGACATCTTCAAATTCGTCGGGTTTGTACAGATTGGTAATCTCCCCGCTGCTGAGCAGGTTGTTCATTATTTCAGTAAAGCTCTCCTCAACAATCTGCGTGTCGTTGAAGATGAATGTCGTCTGCTTCGCGTCGACGCCGCAGCTCGTATATAAAATCTAAAAACATAATTATTAATATATCACCTTTTACACAAACCTAATTTTATTTTTACCTTAAAAAACCTCTAAAGAGCAGTAAGTAAGTCTAAGTTTCTATAGTCACCTTTAGATCCTCACGGAAATCCTTGACACCGTAGGTCTTGGTGACGACGACTTGGAACGAGTTGCACTCACAGATGTACGAAGCCAGGCGAGTCAAGCTCTGACGACCAGAACCACCTAAGACACCATTAGACATTAAACAACTCACAATTCCCTCAATGTACATGTAAAATATTAAAGCAGTGACAGTGGTAATAGTAGTGGCAGTAGGAGTGGCAGTGGCATACTGACCTATGCCGACACAGAGCATATTGCCACGGGGCTGTGAAATAACGCGGGTGATGCGGCACACATGTTCTATAGCGTCTTTGAATAATACCAAGTCCATCTTCACCACACCAGGGCTACTGTTGTACTCCTCCAGCTGGTTGGCGATATACCTGCCCAACAGAAGAGGATCCGTCCAGCGCTAACTATTCTCCAAGTATTACCCAATATCGATTACAAGACATACTTTCTTAAGACCTCAGGGTCATTTATATCATCGTAAACTTCGAAGGGATTTAGGAAATGTCCGAACAGTGGAGGGCTCTTGGTAGGGCAGACGGCGTGGAAGGTCAGCTCGAAGTGTTTACCCAACATTTCTGTTACCTGATTCATGAACCAATCGCGATCTCTGAAAAAACAATTGTAACTCTAAAAATCTAGAATTTGAATGCAAAAGAACAAGACTGATAGCAAAAAAGACGCACTTTTCCTCAGTTAATCTGTCGCCAAAGACCCGGAAACATTCGTGTATCCATAATCGAAGGAAACGTGGCTTCGTGTTCGTGTAATCTTTATTACTTCGCAGGAGACCCTGAAAAGCGAGAAACTTTCCTGTGTAAAATCTAGAAGTTAAGTATATGTCTTCATATTTTTAAATGAAGGGGATAAATCCAGCTTTACCTGGAATATCTTGGAGATGTCTCGCAAGTTGAATAGATAGTGCATCTTGCTGGGCGTCGGCAATAGCTTTGCCACTATATTGTTGAACATGTCGATTGTTGCCACCAGCACTATCTTACCTTTATCAACACATAAAAAATTTAATCTAACAAACAAGAGTTAATTTACCATTTTCTGAAAAAAAAATAAGCTTTTGCCTGCGAGTCCGTTGCGTGGAATAAAAAAAAACAAAAGTCTATGTGTTCTTTTCGACTATCCTCTACATATATGCCAAATTTCATCGTGATCATGTCAGCAGTTTAGGCTACAGACTCTAACAAATATCCACCCATCTAAACTTTCGTATTTATAATATTAGTAAGTTTTGCCGTACCAACAGTTTTCGTCTCCTCGTCGAATTCCATAAGGTGCTGTGCCAGCATGGTACCAAAGATCTTGATGAGCTGCTGGTGCGTGGGAGAAGGTAAGAAGAAGGCGTGGAAGCAGGAGAGTAGGCGTGGGGGAAGGTGGCTGCGCGCACCCCCTGGCGGGCCAGCTGCGCCGCACAGCACCATATCCTAAAGAGAAGTCTATCAAAGCTCCGCAGCATGTAACCCTGACCTTCTAAAAGCTATAGTAGTGGAAATCCACCTTAACATTCTTCCTCCACTGCTTGTGCCTGTCGAACCAGTAACCGTAGTCCAGCCAGAGACGGACCAGCTCCAGCGGCGGCTGAGACCCGTACTCATCCTTCACCGGCATGTTGATATCGTCCATGAACGCTATCATCTTCTTACCTACAAACGATTTGGTTACTTGCTTCTGATCTTGAAGATTCTCTCACTTCACTGAAACTTCGCATTTGAACTTCGAAGATTTAGAAGATTAGATTGTAATTTCTAGAAGTGTAGTCGAGACTAAACTTGTCTCTTATACCGATAGCATCTAATATCCAATTTATCCGAGTTTACCTCCTGCAGGTACATAGTTCCCCTTGGTCCTCTTCTCCAGACGAGCCTCGATCATGTCCTGAACATTAGCGGCAGTGGTCTGCGCAGACATGTTGATGACCTGATTGCTGTACCTGGGGCAAGAGACAAGTAGACAGTAAAAGAGAATATAAACAAATAATTGAAGAGTTATTACAAAGTTACATTTAATTTTACCTTTCAGGATCTAATTGCGAGAGCGTGCCCTGTATGAGGAAAGTCTTGCCGGTGCCTGTGGGGCCCGCCACCAGTACACCGTGACCCCCCTTCAGCAGCTCCAGCGATATTATCTGCACCCGGATGAACTCCACCGTCGGGACCAAGATAGAGTGGAACCCTAAGCTAAAATACACAAATGAAAGAATTAAAATCCGTAAATATTCTATACTAAAATAATAAAGCGTAAACACAGACTATTTAGTTTTGTATGATGTCAGCAATCACAGTATGTTTTTGAATAAATCTATATTTAATAAAAAGCCCTACACTGTCAACACTTTAGGCTACATATTTTCACACTTTTAAACTTAGGGAAGTAAGAAAGGGACAAAAACTATAAGCTATCAAGGAAGCAAAGTTGCCGCGGTAACGGTAATTGTTATCCAATGTCAAAGGTCTTCGTTGTCATTAGAATTTGAATTTTGACATCTGCAATTTCAAAGTTTTCTTGCGGATGAACCCACACGGAGATAGCTAGTTAATGAATACAAACGCTGGATTGAATCGCCAATTATCCGGCAGTCGGTCTTCCCAGGGTCGGAACTGGCGCAGCCTCTCATCCAGGTAGTAGTCATAGACGGTATCCTTCAGGGGGAAAACTCCCTCGTGCTCTCGGATCCAGTTGTCCAGGCGACGGCGTGCGTCCTCGTCCAGGGTCGCGCAAACAGACCAGATCAACCTGGTAGATGATACCTAATTGGTACTCACGAACAAAATTTCTATATCTTTTTCAATATCAAATGTATCAAAGAATCTTAAAATACACTCAAGAGCATTGAATCCGGGTCACTTAAAAAAACTATTAAACTCAATCAATTAAATACTCCTTAAATTAAGGTGTTTAAACTTCTTAGTTTCTCTCTCTCTCTCACACTCTTATAGAGGAATAGGAGAATAATAACGAAAATCGTATAAGAAACTTGGAGTACATCATACTAAACCGCTTAAACGCAGTAATTGAAGGACGAGGAGGCAACACAAACACATTTACATTCAAGAAAATCATATTGTACAAAAATGTCGTGTTTTTATACATTTAAAATGAATAAATTGGGCAGGCTTATAAACATTATTTAATATAGAAAATTTGTTAAGCACCGTTCATTTAAATAAGTAAATATCATTAATTGGGTAGTAAATTTAACATAGATAAAAAAAAAAATCAAAATAGTTTATTGTCTGAAAATAGACTGATGTATGAATATGCATTATGCATGCATTTAATTGTTAAGTGAGTCGTACTCATTGCTCTCGAGTATAAGATCATACGCGAAGAGGAATCTCATCTTGGCGAAGGTGTCGTCGTCCTCGTCGGTGGGGTGCGGCGGCGGCGGGCTGCGCGCCAGCAGGCGGCACAGCGCGCGCACGCCGCTCAGCTCGTGGCCGCGCAGCCCCTCGCCCACCGCGCGCTTCAGCGCCAGCACCGGGCTCAGGATGTTTTGGAAGTGGCGACGCAACTGACCAGCACAACAACCGGATAACGTAACAGTGGTAGAGCCTACTTTAACATCTACGCACGAGTGGGCTCGCCCGGTGTACCACGACCAGACAGGCGTGAAGTGGGAGCAATTCCGCGTACATTGAGAGTGTGGTGCCGGAGACCCAATTAAAGTCTATCATACCACTCCTTTTCCTATACGAAAAGGATGGGAAAGGAACGTTGATTTGACGGTGGAGGAGACGCATATGAAGGGTAAATATCCTCTTTATATGCTTCTCCTCCTCCGATCAAGGGTAGGCAATGCATCCGCTATCGCGAATGTCTATGGGCAGCGGTCGCTTCGCCAGTTTGGCGGATTCACATAGCCGCTTGCGCATTTGCCACCTTATGATAAAAAAAAATATATACAGACCAGTATCACAACCAAAATAGAATAAAAGATAGATGAAGCATGCAAAAATCTGCGAGATGGATACTGGTAACTAAAATATATGAGAGATTTCGATGTAATTTGGCATATATGTATAATATAGTCTGGAACACATAGACTACTCACTCTTTGACCGACTTTCCAAAAGAAGGAGGTACTCAATTCGTCTGTATCTTTTATTTATTTAATTCCACGCAGGGGTAGTCACGGAAGTTAGTTTCAACATAAAATGAACCTATCATTTTTTTTCTTCAAAGTAAATATCACCACGAGAAGTCATTGGATGCGGAAGGAGGACCGGATTCTACGGAAGGTTTTGGGCCTTCAACAGTGGGTAGATAAAACCTGATCATGATATCATGAATGAATTTTTACCATATCTCTGTAATCAATATCGTCGACAGTATCAAGCCAGGAGTTGACGTATGGCCCCCAGCCCCAATCCCGGTAGTCGTTGTATACCATCCCGTTACGTGACACTGTAGCCGGCGAGGCTACCGATAGATCTAGTGTTTCTATCAACAAGGACACCTGCCGACACATCTCTAAGTATTTACCACATGCATTAATGGACTCTAATATTTTTTTTATTTACTAATATTTCCTTTAATCGCCCTAACTAAGCTAAACTAGGCTTGTGCTAGGGGTTTACGTCAATCGAATAGCAGGATTCGAACCCTCGATCGCTAGATCAGTTGTTCGTACCCCAAACCATTTACCACCAAGCTATTGGCATTTAAATTGTGCTTATTCGACAAGATTAAGGGCCTTTCCCGCCACTGACTGATAGAGGCTCAGATAGCTTACTAGTCACTGTCAGATAAGGAAACAAAATCCGATATTTCCATCACTTAATTTACACGTTGGATTGTTATCAGACAATTTACAGTTTGGTGAGACAGTCCCTAAACTCTCTTTAAGCTTAATCTTAAAATAATTTATAGGTAATTCACATATATTAGAGCTGGTAATACAAAGTATACCTGTGGAGGCATGGATATCCTCTCGCTGTTGACTAGTGTGAGCAGCTTGTTGTCGTCCATCACCGAGTTAAGATTCTCTATCCAGATGGCGTCCACCGGCCCATCAAATACTATCCACTTCTGCTCCGGAGACTCATCTGTGGAGACAAAATCTCAGAACTTAGTAAGAACTATAAACGACTAGCCACCTTGTAATCTATACTAATATAATAAAGCACACTACTTTATTGCGTAGGATGTTAGCAATCATTAGCCCTACACATAAGTCACGCTTTACACTACCCATTTTCACTGTATTAAACTTAGGGAGTCAATAATTTGAAAAAAAAAACGTCATGCTGGAAAGGGACAAAAACTACAAGTTAGCAAAAGCAAGGTTGCCACGTTAACGGTAACTGTTATCCAATGTCACAGGTCTTCGTCATTTGAGCAATTTAATTTTGACATTTCAATTTCAAAAATCTTACTGATATTACAATTGCGAAAATTTAGAAGGATAGATGGATGTTTGTTAGAGTTTGTTTTGTAGCCAAAACGGCTGAACAGATATAGATGAAAATTGTCATATAGATGCAGAGTACAGTCTGCAAGAACACAAGCTCACTTTTTTTTGTTTTATACCACACAGATGGAGGCTCGGGCGAAAGCTAGTGTAAACAATAAAATAAAGTTATGATTTCAGACAGATGAAAGCGCACGGGAACAGCTAGTTTGGTATATAATTTGATGGGATTGTTATGTACCCTGGCAGACGGTGCGCATGATGGCGGAAAGCACGCCATCCTTCCACTCGCCGGTGGCGAGGTTGTACTCGCCGTACAGCTCGCCCAGCGTCAGCGCTTTGGGGTTCATAGGATACACCTGCACCGCCTCGAAGCCCGGCACGCCCTCGCGGTGCAGCCGCGTCACCGTCGCCGCCAGCATCTTCCACGACACTGACTTCGCCGTGTTCGTGTCCCCCAGCAGGATGCTCGAGTGACGGGAGTTCTAAATACAATGTAATTACACTTTTCCGACAAACCACTTACCTTTTTTCACGTCGCACCTTTTACACATAAAAACACTAACCCTTAAATGCTTGCAAGATTTTTCCAAACCTTCCGTAAAAAATATGAGTAATATAAAAAATCTAACATCCACATTAAAAAAGAAATAAAGAAGAGAAATATGAAAAAGCAAAAACACAAAGAGTAATATAGTAATACATATAATCTACTATTAAGACAAGAAATTTTGTTAATTCACCTTAGTTTCATACGTCTGTATAACCTTCAATAAAGCGGCTTTCACCGGCTGCAAGCCGATGAGCCTCATCTCCGCTGAGATGGCCGTTTCCAGCATCTCGTAATCGAGCGTGGGCACCTCCACGTCGGGGAAGATGTCCTGCATGATGCCGTTGAACAGAGGAACATCTTTCGCGGTCAGACGCGCCACATTCATATCTCGCATCGCCAGGATTACTATCTTAAGAACAAAACAGTGGTGGAGCCCGCTTTAACATCTTTCAACAGCTCGCTAGCAACAACCACACAGAAGACAGGCGTCAAATGGGAGCAATTCCGCATACAGTCTGATGAGTGTAGAGGCCTAATTTGCGTATCTTTTCCTTTCCACCCTTTTCTTAAAAGGAAAGGTAGGGAAGAAAAAGGATTTGACGGCAGATGAGACGCATAGGAAAGGGAAATGTCATGTTTATGTTCGTTTCTTCTATCGGTTAATAGTGGGCAAAGTAACTGCAATGGCGGATGTATATGGGCATTAGTTGCTTCGTTATTTCGGTGGATTTAGATTGCCGCTTGCTTCTTAGTCTCCTTATTATACCAATATTATAAATGTGAATGTTTGGATGGATGGATGGATGTTTATTAGAGTTTGTAGCCTAAACTGCCGAACGGATCTCAATGAAATTTGGCATAGATGTAGAGGATAGTCTGGGAGAACGCATAGGGTGCTTAGTATCGTTTTTTTTTAATACCGAGCGGATGGTGTCGTAGGCGAAAGTTTGTTACATACAAAAAAAGAATACATTCCTAGAAACTAATTTAAACGGCTTAATCCAGGGGTTTATTAACTTCAAATAGTATCATATTCTTTTAATAATAAATCTGGGATATTAAGGTCTAATGGTCTACCTCCTGTTCTGGAAGGTTAGGATACGCTCTGCGCTTGACGCCGGCATACCGCAGCAGCGCTACCATAGACCTCAGCCCGAAGTCGTAGTGGTCCTGTTTCGATAACTGCTGCATCGCCAGTTGGTACAACGTGAACACCTAAAAATACCAAGGACCACTATAAACGTATTCATATTTTACTTTATACTGAAATGAACGTTTTTTTTAAAGACATTAAAAACATAGACTAGACATAGAATAGACAAGCGCTAGTGAGATTATGTGAAAAATCAAATGAAGTGTCAACTATGAGTCCTCTATATTTTTTGAATCTCTTTGGTTTCTTAGCATCTTTTCAACAAATAATTGCAGTTCACCTTCTTAGCGTTAAGCTTATAGGCTGTGAATCCGTCAGAGAAGAGCGTGTTCTCAGCAATGATGAGAGAGTCCGGTACGCACATCGCTATCGGACGGAACATAGACTTCAAGTTATCAGGAAGCTCCGTACGACCAGCATAACTAAAGACAGACAACACAATGCCATATAGAAATGACTATAAAGAAAATTGTATACTAGCAGTTGCTTACGTCTTCGCAAGCGTGAAATTGAAAAATAATAGCCAATGTTACTGATTAAGAAGCTTTTTAATGGTGAACGATTTTTGAAATCGATCCAATAGTTTGTGAGTTACAATACATACAAAAGTATTTTTGTATGTGTTGTAAAAGTATATCTGTATAGATATTTCTTTTTTATTATTTTTAGTATAGACGAAAAAGTTCGCAAAGCGGTGAGAAGTTAAAGATCGCAGATTTAATGGCCTAAAAGGCGTTAAACGCATTATTTACTGTGGACGCTCGAGAATAGACGATAACTCGATAGGCTGTTGTACCCAGGATTCATGGTGATAAAGATGCCGCAGTTCGCATCAAGTTTCAGGTCAAAACCCTCGAAGAGGAACCGCTTC